TGACTACACCCTTGGTTTCAGGATTCCTCAGTCTCCCACCACCTACCTTCCAATCTACACCCAGGGTCTCAAGATCAGACCAACTGGCGCTGACAAAAGCTGAAGGACAGCCCTGGAAGCTGGGAAGGGGAGGTGGACGTGAAAAGTACAGTAGAAACTGGCTGGCCTCCTGTTCATTTGTGAAACTAGTACACGGTCATATGTTTATACCAGTATACTTTTTTAAATTTAATTTTATTTATTTATTTTTTTGCCATAGGGTGTGTGTGCACTCACCGGAGAGAGACAGAGATAGACAAAATGAGAGATTACCCCTCTGGGGAAATGGTCTCTTCTCCCCCATTCTCCTCTTGGGATTTTAGGTGTACATGCCTGTGTGATTTTTAAGCCCCTGGTTCGGGACTCGAACCACAGTTGGCCATGTGGAAGGCCAGTGCCTTAACCACCATGCCACCTACTGGCCCCATACCTGGATAGGTTTAATGTCACTTTGTGTAGTATTCTACAAACCATTTTTAGTTCTGCTTTGCCCTTCCAGCTTTCCGTTCCCTTGCCTTACACAGCCTCTTCTGGTGTCTCAGTACTGTTACCCAGTTTAAATCCTTCCTTGTTAAAGAAGTATGTAAGTAAGTATGATAGGGTTTGTAGAATCTTCTTTATGTGTATATGGGGGAAGTGAGGTATTTAAGGATATAGACCCCTCAGTACAAATTGAAAAATAAAAAGGAAACATCAGGTAGAAGTACCCTAGAGAGACCTAAGTTCTAGGTTGGAAGAATGTTGGAAGAATCTCCTTCCTTGTCCGGGCATCAGTTTCTCCATCTGTCAGATAAGATGATACCACTCTCAGCTAGAGGGGGTGAAACTGAAACTTACAGAGACAAGTAACTTCTATGGTTCCACAAGAGAACAAGGATTTAAACCCAACACCTCCCAGGTTAGCCTTGGGAAGGAGAATGAACTAACAGAAAGCCAGTCTTTGCACAAACTTCAGTCTGGTTTCATGTCACATAATGCCCAGAAAGTCTCAAGTTCTGAAACTGCATTAAAGTCATCCTGCATTGTCGGTGACTCAAAGTCCTTGGCAGAAACAAATACTCAGGAAACTGTTACTGTAGACTTTGAGTTTCTCAAAGAATTATTTTTCAAATGTTTTTCAGCAAAAAGAAAATCCAGGCACATGAATAAGTACTAAAAGCCAAAACTAGTACAGCCAACAGAAAGACCAACTGAACACTAGCTATTGGGAGTAGATGGTAACATAATTGCCTTTCTGTTGAAGGAGATAAAACCCAAGTTTCAGATTTGAAAAGAAAAATTAGAAGTTATTAAAATGACAGACTTGAAAGAAAATTAGAGATTATAGAGGTTAAAATACAGTGACGGAAAAAGAAAAACCTCAAGGGAAGAGTTTAATAGGAGATTAGATACAGCTAAAGAGAAATTTAGTGACCTAGAAGATCAGGCTGAAGAAACTTTCTAGAATGAGGCATGAAGACACAAGAGAAAGGAAGAGAAAGAATATGAAAAGATGTTAAATACACTCACATATACATATTCATTTGGGGTCCCCCAAAATAGGGAGAAACAACCTGAAAAAGATGTATCATCAGGGCCAGCAGATGGCAAAGCAGTTGCATTGCTGGACTCCCATGGCTGACCACTGTTCCAATTTCAGACCTGGTGGCTTGAAAATCATGCTGGGTTCATGTGAGAGTATGCCCAGGATCCCAGGAGGAGAAGATATTGCGGCGTGTCCATCACCCTCCTGCCTGGGGGATGATTTCCCACTTTCCCTTTCACTGTCTGTCTCTCTCTCTCTCTCTCTCTCTCGCTCACTCGCTCTCTTTTCCCAGTGGGCACACATGCCCTAAGGTAAACGCCTATCAAAAGGCAGGGAGGGATGTATTATGAGTGCTAATCAGACACCAAAGAATGGATTCAAGAATGCAAATTAGGGGAACCAGCAGTTAGCGTAATGGCTATGTCACTGGACTCCCACGTAGTTGACCGCAGTTCGTGTCCTGGACCCGGTGGCTTAAAACTCACGCCGGGTGCGTGTGCGTGCCTGCCCAAGATCCCAAGAGGAGAATGGAGGAGAAGGGATTACGGCGTGACCATCCCCTGTGGGGGGTGATTTCTCGCTGTCTCTATGTCTCTCTCTGTCTGGCGAGTGCATGCGCCCTATAGCGAAAACCTCTCCAAAAAAAAAAAGAGTGCAAATTATGATTAAGAAATTTACATCTAAATTATGGTAAGGCCACACACACATACACACAAAGGTAACAGCTCAAGAAATTTACCTTGAAAGGAATAATAGATCAAAAACTATCTCCGGCAACAGTGAGAACCTTAAGACAGTGAAATGTTATTCTCAATGTACTGAAAGAAAAATCTCCCAACCTAGAATCTTGTGGCCAGTACAGGATCAATATTTCAATAGGTAGTACCAATTTCCTTCCCATAGAGAACTAGATTTATTGTAGTAGACTCTAATTATTGGACAAAGTAGGTTTGCCTTTAAAAGTTAAGCCAGAGTGAAAGAAACCAGACATAGCACGTACTGTCCAGGTCTACTTTACAGACCCAGCAAACACAATCAGCTGCGATAGAAATCAGAACAGGGGCTGCCTGGGGTGGAGCTGGGAGTGGGGGCCGGATTGCAATGGGGACCAGGGCACTTTCCAGAAAGATGGATGTGATCTGTATTTTGATGGAGTGGTAGCTGCATGGGTATAGCCTTTTGAGAAAGCTAAAACCACCTACTTATGCATTTTATTATATTTAAACAGGGTTTTTTAAAATGCAGTCATAGCTAACTTAGGGCTCCGTTAAAATCCAAATAACAGAATTTGCAAGGCGAGCCCTTCACATGGACAGACCAATGTGGGGGTAGGCCCCAAGTTTACATAAGGATTTTTGCAAAACCATTTTATAGTAAAAAAAAAAAAGAGAGAGAGAGAGAGAGAGACAGTTCTAAAGTAAGCAAACAAACAAAAACCCATAGGCCAATTAATAAAAAAGAGCAAGTATAGAGAAATAAGAGACTAGAGACTATTTTAAACCATTCTATCTATATGCTGAAGTCTGAATAAAATAGACTCTTCAGTTTAAAAAATTAGTCCTAAATCCAGATGAGAAATTAAGTCAGGTGTCATAAAAATTGTCTAAGACACAGCTAACTCCCTAAACGAATACCTGGACCAGATGCTGTCACAGGGAATCCTGCCATGTCACCTACGGGATTGGATTTTCTTCAGCGCCATTAAACTGTTCTAGAAAAGGCCCGTATTTTATAATAAAATAAATATTGACATCCAGAGTCAACAACATTTATATGAAGAACTATGGATTAATTTCACCTATGATTAGATTATCAGTACCTTAAAAACTTCGGTCAAAGCATCCCTCATTCAGAAGGCCAGCTTTCAGCCCAGCAGGTGGAGTTGTGGTTAAGGTGCTGGATTCCCACATGGCTGACTGCAGTTTGAATTCCAGACCTGGTGGCTTGCTTTCTTGTTTTCTCTATCTCATGAGCATACTTGCCCTATAGCGAATTTTAAAATTATTTATATATATATACATATAGAGAGAGAGAGACAGATTTTTTTGCTATAGGGCACAAGTGCTTGCCAGAGAGACAGACTGAGAAAGTGAGAAATCACCCCTGGGGATGGCCACACCACAATCCTTTCTCCTTTCTTCTCTCAGGATGCACACACGTGAATCCAGTGTGAGTTTCAAGCCACCAGATCCAGGACTCCAAACCTCAGTTGGCCATGTGGGAGTCCAGTGCTCCAACCACCATGTTCCATGGCCCCTGCTGGCCTCGGTAAATAATTTTTTTAAAAGAATTATTTTATTTAACTTGATGGATTGATTGACTGACCAGAGAGGGACAGAGTGAGTGAGTGAGTGGGGGTTGGAGAGTGAGAAAGCAAGCTGCCAGTTCTGGGACTTGAACCACAGTCAAGCCATGTGAGAGTCCAGAGCCCTCAACCACCACCTCTCGGCCCATTTTTTTCTAAAGAAGTAAATAATTCTTTAAATGAAAAAATAAAAAGCCAGCTTCCCACTCAATTGGAAAACAACAGAGGAATTCTCACACACAAGATTAAGTATTGCCTACCATCATTGCTACATACGTAACACTGTACCAGCGACCCCAGCCAATAATAAATAATAGGCAAGGAAAGAAATCAGAGCCGGAAATAGGGATGTTGGATCATCGCTACCTGCAGGTTACTCCTGTATACTTGGAAAACAAGAGAATCAGGAGAAAATCTGTAAGATAACAGCGCACTTTCAGAGAAGGGCTCACCTGACGTCTCTACAAAGCTCATGGAACACAGCTCCAGCTTTGTTTCAGGACATGCGGGCTAGACTTTGGTAGTCAACCCTAGACCAGCATTTCAACCCGGGTCACTCGGCTGACCAGCGAGCCTCATGCTGCCAGTAGCCCCACTCAAATGCAGCTTTATTTCCATTTAACCCTTACTACTGCAGTGAGGGCGGACTTACCCCTAAGTTTCAGGAGGGGCAAGTAAGGACGTAATTTGTTACAGTCCACTGAGTTGCACAAGGTCCCCAGGTGTACACCGTGGCGGTGACGCGGAGCCCCCAACCACAGCACTGTCTCGGAGAGCCAGCGTCAGACTCCGTCTAGGTCCTTGCATGCCTCACCTCATTTAATCCTCGGAATGCCTATTAGTCAAGCTATCATCAGTCTCACTTTACAGACGAGGAAACAGTCGCTTAAAGAACAAAACGGGCCATTCACACAAGCCTCATCGTGAGGTCTGGGAAGGAGAACTTGAGACCTGTCTGTGCTGCCCTCTTCCTGGAAGAATGCTTTTTACCCTCAAAGCTTGGCATTCACTTCTGGGGTCCATGCGTCCCCTGAGCCCATGGGGGGCCCAGGAGTCCCAGGCTATGTCTGATCCAAAGTCCCCCCTCACTCCGTGTGCCCCAGCTCTGACTCCCGGTCACTCTGTACTCACCATCTCTGTTTTCACTCATCTCTTCTCCAGCCTAAAACCCTTCCACCAGCTGAAGTCGTCCTTGACTGCCAGGGAGCAGAGACCTCCTCCAAGGCCGTCCTCCTCTCACTAAGCTTGTTCACCGCCTTGGCCCCCACGCTCGCTTTTAAGCGCTCGGTGATTTATGGGTAAGAACAAGATCCACCTTTTCCTTTCAGAGCGCTCTCCCCTAGGTGCTCCCTGTTACCTAACATGGTCTTTCTTTGCACCATTACAGAGAAAACGCTCAGCAACACCCACCCTGGGAGAACAAGGCCTTGGAGCCGTGGGTCTCAAACGATCGATCCAGCGTCACCTAAAGAGCTAATGAAGACCCAGACACCCAGGCTCTTCATAGCAGGCAGGGCCTGGGCGGGTGCAGGTTAGCCCCTCAGCCAGGTGATTCTAATCCTCGCCAACTACCTGGTACTACTAGAGCCAGGGAATCCCAATTAAAGCACAAGCCGCTAACTTCCCCGGCTCTGGGGAGGCCATGCTTTGAGAGCAGGTGGAAGCAGGTAGCCCAGGACAGTAAGGACAGCTTGGTAAGAAAGCACCGGACCCAAGGAGCGCTGGCTCCCAGTCCCCCGGGCATACCTGATTGCTGGTCTTGGCAAACCTTCCCAGACCTTCTGGCTTCTGGTTTCCCCTTATTCCAGGGGAAGAGAGGACCCCATCAGGGAGGAGGATGTGGAGAGGCAAGGGAGGCTCCATGCCACAGCAGGAGGGCAAACGGAACTGCCCAGGGACTTTTATGTTGTGGGTTTCTCAGTTTTGCCCCGG